TATTACATATGTCCCCTGTTTCCCCCATTGACCTCTACCACCCTGGCCCCACCCCCCAACCCAGGCCTTCACCATTCTTTTGTCTGTGTCCATGGGTTATGCATATGTGATATGAGTTCATTGGTGGATCTCTTCCAACCCACCATTCCTCCCCTGCTTTAATTCCTTTTATTAATTCCTTTTAAAATATAAAAATACACTTATAATATGGTTTGCCAATCATATACCTGGATATGTCTTCCAGAGAAATAAACATTTGCATTTCATGTAGACTATTAGATTTATTGGTGTAAAGCTTTTTTTTTCAATTTAGATTCTTTATTGTTTAAAGTATTACATAAGACTCCTTTTTCCTCCATTGACTTCTCCCTGGCTGCCCCCACCCCCCAGCATACACCCTCACCTCCCCATATGTTCATATGCATGCATACAAGTCCTTTGGTTGATCTCTTACCCCCTCACCCCCCGCCTTCGGAACTGGAGAGCATTATGCTAAGGGAAATAAACCAATCAGAAAAAGATAAATATCACATGATATCACTCATTTGTGGAATATAATGAACAACATAAACTGAAGAACAAAAATAGAATCAGAGTAATAGAAGCATCAAACAGACTGGTGTAAAGCTTTTAAAATACTCCCAAATATTTATTTTTCTCTGTTACTAATAAAATCTCCGTTTATCCCTGATATTGATGGAATTAGTTCTTATTCTGCAGAAGTCTTAACAGGATTATTAATTTTTAGTTATTTTAAGACCTAATTTCTGGGCCTTAATGCTCTCTTTTTCTTGTATCTGTATCATTTATTTCTGCTTTTATGTGCATTATTGCCTTCCACTAAAATGTTGGAACCCTTATAGGGTATTTCATTTTGTTAATCCTCATCCGAGGACATTTTTTCCATTGGTTTTTTTTTAGGAAGAGTGGGAGAGAGAGGGAAAGACAGAGAGAAACATTGATGTAAGAGAAACACATCAATTGGTTGCCTACTGCATGAGCCCTGTACAGGGTCCAGGCCCAGGAGGAGTCTGCAACCAAGGAACTTACAGGAATCAAACCTAGGACTGCAGGCCACCACTATCTCCACTGAGCCAAACCAGCTAGGGCTAGAGTACTGCATTTTGTAGAGGAAGGTAATTAATTTAATGGTAACCCTCCTTACTCTGTTCACTGCTGGGCTTCAGGCTATGGGATTAAGAATGGTGTGATAAAAATACCCATTACTCTAGATGCCTTCTCCTAAGAATTAGCCTTTCTGGTCTCAGCTGAATGCCTGGTCACACTACGCTGCCTGGGCTGAACAATTCATTATCTTCCAACACTGTTTGACCCAGAGCAACGATTATCAACTGGTGTGCTGCAAGAATTTTTAAAACATGTAATACCTGATTATGTAGTCAGGGGCAGAGGCATCTTTTTACTTAAATTGTCAAGTGAAAAAAAAATGACAACAGCAAACACAACAATATCCATGCAGTGTCAGTGAATCAAAATTATACCTGTATATTTTTTCGAGTGTGACACAGAATTTTTGTAATTAGTTTATGTGTACCATGAGACAGAAAATGTAAAAAAATATATATATTATTGACCTAGCCCAGCTGGCATAATCAGACATTGAGCATTGACCTATGAACCAGGATATCACTATTCAATTCCTAGTCAGGGAATATGCCAGGATTGTGGGGTCGACTCCCAGTAGGGGGCATGTAGGAAGCAGATCAATAATCATTCTATCTCATCATTAATGTTTCTCTCTCTCTCTCTCCATACCTCTTCCTATCTGAAATTAATAAAAATATATTTTTAAAAATCACTGACCTATAGCATTATCTCCATTTGACTCTCTACCCTTCAGTAGAGTCTTACCCAGCAAATATGTAGCCTAATCCTGAATCAAGGACATTAAGGCAGCTACCCTCGCCCCAAAACATATATCTGATAGGCTCTGTTCATCTCTGGTCCTATCTCCTTCAAGTTCCAACCGCTTCAGCATCCCTGAACTCCAATCTCTGAGTGGCTGCTTGGTACCACTTCCTTATGGTGTGCTTAAGACTTTATTCCCAGTCAGAGGGTCAAGTTAAAATTGAGACTCACTTTCTTTGTGTCCTGTCTCTCATTGAGAAATCTCCTGATCTGCCTATTGCCAAATGTCTAAAAACAGGTACCTCATGTACAATATTTTATTGTGCTTTCTACTTGTAGATAGTGAGTATAACATGCTATACCAGATACCGTTTATTTATTTATTTATTTACTTACTTAGTTTTAATTTATTTTTATTGTTGAAATTCTGACAGATGTCCCCTATTTCCCCCCAAGTCCCCTCCACCTGACTCCTGCCCCACCCCCCTTCACAGGCCTTCCTCACACTATTGTTTGTGTCCATGGGCTGTGCCTATTTGGATTTATATTAATATCGCAATTACAATAAAGAAATAGAATCTGACCAATCATTTGTCAACGTTGGTTTCTTCCAAATAATATATTCTAGCAAAATAAGAGTCTTGCAGACTAATGCTAACTTTCTCACATACTTTGAAAAATTTCCTTATTCCTAACAGCATTTTGGGTTACAATTGAAATTCCTATGTTTCACCCTGAACATAGTCAGTTTCTGTACCTAATATGCTTTTGTGTCCTCACTTTCTCAGGGGTCAATCTACAATTTCCTCAGAGACTAGGATATATCCATTTAAACTACTCAATGTGTTTGGGTTTTGGTTGTTTTTTTTTTTTTTTTAGCTTTTTTAACTCCTTCATCTATTTTTTGTTTATTTGTGTCTTCTCAAACTCCTACTAATACTTTCAGATATTAAATGGCCTTCGTGGATAAGCAACTCCTAAATTTTACATTTAAAATGTAGTTGTTCTATTCCATATGATTTTATTGTAATTGTCACATTATACTTGGATATTTTATCTGTTTGCCCAATAATTCTGTGGAGTATAAAGAAATCTTTTTCTTCTCACCAATGACACATAAAAAATAGAATCTACACAGAATAAAAGGAAAACTTACCTTTTTAAATGAAGAATCTGGATACAATGTTCCTGACTCGTATGTATATACCAGGAAATGAGGGTCTAAAAATAACCTAATTCAACCAAGATAATGACACTTCATTGTATGAATATTATTAATAAAAGAAACTTCTAGAATCATGAAATTAAACAATATACTATCAATTATAGAAGCTCAGATATCCAAACAATTAAATGGACACATATTTCCATGATCTCATTTGCTTTCTAATAGCATAATGTGTGTGTAAGAGAAAAGAATCCTATATAATAAAAGAGAAACATGCAAATTAACCATCCCTCCACTATGCTCAAGCCATGCCCACAAGCCACACCCACAAGCCCATCAGGAGCAATTATGCATATTAACCCAACTAAGATGGCAGTGGCCATGGAGCTGGAGTGAGCAGGAGGCTTGGGTTGCCCCTGGTGATGGAGGAAGGCAAGCTTCCCACCTGCCTTGGCCAGCCCTCGGCTCTGCTGAAGGTTACAAAGTTCCAATTATAGAAGATAAATAAATCCCAGAAAAAGAAAAAAGAAAAAGAAAAAAAGGAGAGCCTGGGAGCTTGGGTTGCCAGGGGGAGTGGCCAGCCTGAAAACAGCCATCAGCCCCTCACCCAGGCTGGCGAGGCACCCCCACACCCTGAAGGGGCTATGGGCAGCCTGAAAATGGCCCTCCACCCCTGACCCAGGCTGGCCAGGCACCCCAGCGGGACCCCCCCACCCTGAAGGGGCTGTGGCCAGCCTGCAAACACCCATCAGCCCCTCACCTAGGCTGGCCAGGCATCCGAGCGGGACCCCCACCCTGATCTGGGACACCCTTCAGGGCAAACCAGCTGGCCCCCACCATGCACCAGGCCTCTATTCTATATAATAAAAGGGTAATATGCAAATTGACCCTAACAGCAGAATGACTGGGAATGACTGGTCACTATGACACACACTGACCACCAGGGGGCAGATGCTCAATGCAGGAGCTGTCCCCCTGGTGGTCAGTGCGCTCGCACATGGGGAGCTGTTCTCATCCACAAGCCAGGCTGATGGCTGCCAGCATAGCTATGGTGGCGGGAGCCTCTCCCGCCTCCTCAGCAGTGCTAAGGATGTCCGACTGCAGCTTAGGCCTGCTGCCCGCTGGCAAGTGGACATCCCCTGAGGGCTCCCATGCTGCCAGAGGGATGTCTGACTGCCAGATTAGGCCTAATTCCCCAGGGAGCGGGTCTAAACCAGCAGGTAGACATCCTCCGAGGGGTCCCAGACTGCAGGAGGGCACAGGCCAAGCTGAGGGACTCCCCACCCGAGTGCACAAATTTTTGTGCACCGGGCCTCTAGTAAGCAGAATAACCAGATTCCAGTATGGATGCTACAATGACACAGCGTCACCTGTAGTAAAAACCAGAGGTTCTAGATTCCCACAGCAAAGTTCTGTTTTAGATTTAACCATCAATACATCTAATAGCATCAATATGCCAGTTAATATTTACGAACAAGTAGCCATTAGTTGATAAAGGCAAAAAATATGCTTTAAGTTTTTATGCAATTATGCTGTGGTAAAAACAACAATGGATGATTTTGCATGTTTACTGCAGGTTGGGCTAATGCTACCTTCATTCTGGAACCCAGGAAAAGGCATGACCCTCCTTGGAGAACGCCTTTCTTTTAGTAGAAAGAGAAAAAAACTGTAGAAGCACAGAATACTTCACAAAGCCTTTGTTTAGAAGCGGGATACTAGTCTCCCTGCTCACATTTCATAAGCCAACCTAAAGGATCTCTGTAGACAAACCCAATATAAACATGCTTCAGAAGTTAAGTCTTTCTCCTGGAAGAAAGTGGTCGTCATGGAACAATCTAACAACATTATTTATTGTAGGGAGATTGGACTTTCTCAAGGATGCCAAACACCAAAAGGCATTTCAAGGCCAGAATTGAGAGGACTAGAGCATTCGCAGGGTACTTTCAGTCACCAGAAATTCTCTTTCTCAGTCTGCTTCGTTGTCTCTCATTCCTAATAACCTTTCCTTTTCCTCCAGTCAAATAACAAAACTAGAGAGATCCCAGGGAAAAGCAGATATTTATCAGTTCACATTTTATATACATTCTTAAGGAAAAATCTATGAATGGCCTGGGCTGTTCAGGTGCAAGTGCCTGCGGAAAAAAAAATGTGTGGGGACTGAAAAGTAAAATAAAAATTTAAAGGAGTTATAATATATCAGGGAGAATTAATATAAAACCATACACACAAACAACTACTGGAAAATTCACTTCTAATGGACTGTATCAAATTGTTAAAATTTTTAGCAAAAGAATAAGATTCTACACATTGCCAACTTACTCAATTAGGAAAACAAAAGGGACTTTTGCAGATATGCAGATTCAGAAAGCATGCCATCTGCATATTCTTTCTAATATGAAAGTATTCTACCTGAACAATATCTGAGTTAACATAAAATTGCAACAGGAAAAAAAATACAAAACAGTGATAAGACTTGAAAAATGCAAGACATTTAAGTAACTGAAAGCATTGGATTTACTTACATCTTAAATGTAAGAAGAATTTAAAAAATACTGTAGTAATATTATGATATAAATTTATATGTGAGAGGCACAAGAGAGGAATCTGAGTACTGAAAAAAGTAAATAAAAATATGATGATAAAATTTTACTTTGTATCAATAAATCCCACAAAGTAAGAAGACAATAAACAGGGTGGCATATTTGCAACATATAGAACAGATAAAGGCCTAATCTCTATAGTAAACAAAAGTTCCCAAAAATCTGATCATAGAAAAAAAGAAAGAAAAGCAGAATGACAAGGCACAGATTGAAAATAAATACTAAAGACACATGAATACAAATAAAAATCCAAAAGAAAATACAAAATCTTGGGAGAGGCAATTAAATTAGAATGGTCAGTAAACATTTGAAAAGATGCTATATGTTATTAAGAAGCAGTGAAGTGCATATTAAAACAACAATAAAGTAGTAGTTCTTATCCATTGATTAACAAAATAAATGAGTCAAGATACTCATTTTGTTGGCAATGTAGAGCATAGGGATGCATTTGAATTGTTGGTGTGAGTGAAAACTGGTATAATTCTTTGAAGTAAAAATTTGGCAATGAGAATTTTCTTATTTATTATCCATCAATTTCACTGGTGCCCAGGAAGTCATGGCTAGGGATATCCACAGTAAAGCTTTCCTTGCTATAAATAATGGGTGGATAATTAATATATGAGGAATATTCATTTGAAGGCTGTATATATAGTAAAAATAAACTCATTTGGCACAGAGCAATATGAATCTCAGAAAAGTAACATTGTGTAAAATGTTGTATAATAAGCAACCACAAAACTACAACCACATACAACAGAATACGTATCTATTGCTCACACTTCTCTGTCACATGTGGGTAGCCATGGAAGTTCTGCTAATTGGCCAGGCTTGATCTATGGTACTGGATTCAGCCATATTTAGGAATGATTAGGGCACCTTGGCTGTAGTCCACATGTATCTAGCTTTCAGCATGCTGGCCTATGCATATTGTCACGAGGATGGCAGACAAACAGGAAAGAAAGCAGAAAAGCATGAGAGCTTTTCAAGCCTCTGTTTGAATCAAGTCAGGTAATAACATTTTGGCCAAAGAAATCAAATAGTCTATATAAGTGTGGGGTCCGAGGTAAAAATGATGCAAGGCCTCTGTTTAAAACTATTAAGAATCTCAGGACAGCAACACTGGAACATTAAACCAAATACAGGGCCCTTCTAACCGTAAGGCCCTGAGGCACCACACATCATGAATTTGGCCTTGCATAAGTGAATTCAGATTCAAGGGCTGGAGAGTGGGGGCGCTGATGGAAATGTATTATCCCATCTCTTGATGATAGTCACACAGTTAGTTATATGGCAAAGAGTGAAGATACAGGAAAAGGTAAAGTTTTGGGTGTACTTTTGTGATGCACCATATTAATATAAATAAATTGATGGAATATATGGTATTGAGTCATTACATTTATTAAAAAATACTCAAAACATTATGATTCTTATTGATCTCCAGACATAAATCAATAAAGATAATATATGACAGAAGAATATTGCCATTACTGTAGCTGTAATTAGCACTGGGGAGTAAGAGAAATAGATCTGGGTGAGGAAATAACAAATTTCCCTATTACCAGCCATGGGCAATACACTTCATTTTAAATAGTGTAGGCACAACACTTCCATGCCTGTCACTAATTGTTTAAATTATTCTCAGAATTACCCATTTCATCTTTTATCATTCAAAAGGAAAAAAAGGTGAGAGAGTGTGGATGTGCAGGGAGTGTCTGTATTGTGAGTGAGGGACAGCTATATTCCAAGGGACTGTTGGGGACTGCCGGACCTGGCTCCCCTAGCTGGGCAGCCTATACTGCTGCTGAAATCTCTTCCCAGAGTGGCCAGCTCTGCCTCAGAGACCATGCCAACTTGAAGGGGAGAGTGGCTGTGATAGGAAGCCCAGACTTACCTTAAACCAGGGAGACCTCGGGTACCTCCCAGACCCTACAACCACAACACCCAGGGTCCAGCTGACTCAACTGCGAACCCACGAACACCAGGACTCCAGCCTCCAAGACCGTGGGCACCTAAATAGTTTGTCAACAGGGAGACAAAGCGGCAAAAATACACGGACAAGCCCTGCACCTTCTCACAGAATAGCTAAGGAACAGCTGAATCAAACAGCACCCACCCGGAACTGGCGAATTAAACACAGCTGGTGAGGCAATCCACAGATGGAAAGGTCAGATATCACCTAGAGCAGTGGTTTTCAACCTTGGCTGCACATTAGAATCACCTGGGAATCTTTTTAAAATCCTGTTTTCTGGGCCTCATCCTCCAGAAATTCTGTTTCTTTGTTATGGGGTGGGGCCACAATGTACAATAGCTAAGATTTGGAAACAGCCTAAATGCCCATCAGCAGATGAGTGGATTAGAAAACTGTGGTACATCTACACAATGGAATACTATGCCACTATAAAAAAAGAAGGAACTTTTACCTTTTGCAACAGCATGGTTGGAACTGGAGAGGATTATGCTATGTTAAATAAGCCATTTGGAGAGAGATAAATATCACATTTAATCACTCATATGTGAGATATAATGATCAGCATAATTTGATAAGAACAGATCCAGAGACAATGTGGGGGGGTGCAGTTAGAGAGCAATCAAAGGACTTGTATGCATGCATATGAGCATAACCAATGGACACAGATACTGGGGTGGTGAGGGCTTGCCCAGGGCAGGCATGAATGGGGGTCAATTGGGGAAAAAGGAGACATATGTAAAATTTTAGACAATAGATAAATTAATCAATTTTTTAAAAATAAAGGGAAAAAGGCATAAAAATATTGATCTAATATAAATTATGGACTTTGGGTTATAATGATGTGTGGATTCAGTATAATCAATTACAACAATATTAGAGGCCTGAGGCATGAAATTTGTGCAAGAGTAGGCCTTCCTTCCCCCGGCTGCCTATACCGGCTTCCCTCTGGCACCTGGGACCCGGGTTTCCCTCTGGCTGCCAGCATGCACCCAGGACCCGGGCTTCCCTTCAGCCCTGGCTTCATCTTGAAGGACATCTGGTATGATGTCTGATCTAATTAGCATATTACCCTTTTATTATTATAGATTAGAGGCCTCGCGCATGAAATGTGGGCACAGGTGGGGTACCTAGGCCTGTCCAGTGATCAGGCCCTATGGGGGTCATCTCACCCATTCCCATTTGGGCTGGGCCTGCAGTTTCTGGACAGGGCCTGCAGGACAGGGCCTGCAGGACAGGGCTTGCAGGACAGGGTTGCGGGACAGGGGAGGGACTTTGAGAGGTTTGCCGGCCAGGGGGAGGGACAGGGGACATTTGGCTGGTTGTGGGAAGTTGGCTGTGGGAGCGCACTGACCACCAGGGGGAAACTCCTGCATTGAGTGTCTGCCCCCTGGTGGTCAGTGCATGTCATAGCGACAGGTCGACTGGTCGTTCCGGTTGTTCGGTCGTAATGATTGCTTAGGCTTTTATATTTGGAGGGGGGTTGTTGATAATGGAGGAGGCTATGCATATGTGGCATAAGGGGCTTATGGGAAATCCCTGTGCATTCTAGTCAATTTTGCTTTTGCTATAAATCTAAAACTGCTCTACAAAATAAAGTGTATTAGAATAATAAATAATGAGAAAAATACTAGTATATGAATAGGCAAGCCTCATACAGATAAATGCAAATAACCAATAAAGGTTCAGAGTAGTTATTTAGGGAAATATAAACTGATGTTAAGATGAAAAAGAATATTTTAGCACATCATGCAGGCTTTTGGAAATCTAAATTGCTATCATCTTTTCAGGAAGACACTGGCAATGTCTCTCAAAATCTTAATATACTAGAAAATGTGAATATTAAATCAGTTACTACATGCAAATTGCTGAGAAATATGCCCTATAAATGTTATGTGTTCATAAGTGCCCATTGCTTTTGTTGTTTTTGTTATTATCATCACTATTGTCATTGTTATTCACTCTTCTAGATCCAGAAACCTATTTCTTGATATCAAGGCTACCAAACAAAATCTATATTATATAAAAATATACATACAATAATGTCTATTGCAGTACTCAATAAACAAATGGAAATTTCCGGAAATAACTTCATTATCTATCAATATTACATATTGTTAAATGTTATCTATTGAAAGATAAGTTATAAAATACATAAAGAGCAAGGAAATAAGCACCAATAATCAATAAGACTGGCCAATAGTAATACCCTATTTCCACTTTCGTAAAAAAATTTTGAGTAGGTTTCATTTAATAGAAGAATGAAATATAAACAGAAAATTGGGAAAAGTACACACAAAGTTATTAATATTGATTTCTTAGAGTGTAGATAGAAAACAGAATACTTAATAAGTTAAAAGTACATACAAAATGAGAAAAAAATACTCTAGAACAGCGGTTCTCAACTTGTGGGTTGCGACCCCTTTGGGGGTCGAATGACCCTTTCACAGGGGTCACCTAAGATCATCGGAAAACACATATAATTACATATTGTTTTTGTGCTTAATCACTATGCTTTAATTATGTTCATTTTGTAACAATGAAATTGGGGGTCACCACAACATAAGGAACTGTATTAAAGGGTCACGGCATTAGCCCAAACCGGTTTGGCTCAGTGGATAGAGCGTCGGCCTGCGGACTCAAGGGTCCCAGGTTCGATTCCGGTCAAGGGCATGTACCTTGGTTGCAGGCACATCGCCAGTAGGGAGTGTGCAGGAGGCAGCTGATCGATGTTTCTCTCTCATCGATGTTTCTAATTCTCTATCCCTCTCCCTTCCTCTCTGTAAAAAAATCAATAAAATATATATTTAAAAAAAAAAAAGGGTCACGGCATTAGAAAGGTTGAGAACCACTGCTCTAGAATGTCAAGTAAAGTTCTTAAAATCATACAAATATGTGAAATAACATGAAGACAGACAAAGTTAAACATCCTATATAATAAAAGGCCAGCCACCATAAGCATAACAACCTGAATGACCAGAGACCAGAACCACCATGGTCCCTCGCCGGGCTGGCCCCACCCCCTAGCAAGCGGTTAGGGGTGATCAGGTAGGCAGGCCAGCAGTTAGGACAGTGGTTCTCAACCTTCTGGCCCTTTAAATACAGTTTCTCATGTTGTGACCCAACCATAAAATTATTTTCGTTGCTACTTCATAACTGTAATGTTGCTACTGTTATGAATCGTAATGTAAATATCTGATATGCAGGATGGTCTTAGGCGACCCCTGTGAAAGGGTCGTTTGACACCCAAAGGGGTTGCGACCCACAGGTTGAGTACCGCTGGGTTAGGAGCAATCACGTAGGCAGACAGCCCCTCCCCGGGCTGGCTCCACCCCCAAGCAAGTGTTTAGGGGTGATCAGGCAGGCAGACCAGTGGTTAGGGGTGATCAAGTAGGCAGGCAAGTGGTTAGGGGCAATCAGGCAGGCAGGTAGAGGGGTTAGGTTCGATCAGGCAGACAGGCAGGTGAGCAGTTAGGACCCAGTAGTCCGGATTGCAAGAGAGATGTCTGACTGTCAGTTTTGGCCCGATCCCATCGGGTTACCCACGGGATCGGGGTCAGGCCTAAACCGGCAGTCAGACATCTCCAGAGGGGTCCCGGATTATAAGAGGATGCAGGCTGGGCTGAGGAAACACCCCCTCTGTGCAGGAATTTCATGCACCAGGCCTCTAGTTCTATATAATAAAAGTCTAATATGAAAATCAACCAAACAGCAGAACAACTAGCGGAACACCTGGTCACTATGACATGCACTGACCACCAGGGGGCAGCCATTCAACAAAAGAGCTGCCCCCAACCAGCAGGCCCTAGGTCAGCCAAGGCTGGTGGCAGTGGGAGCTCCCCGATTGCCTTGCCAGTTGCCCCACAGAGGGAGGTAATTAGCAGTAGAAGCAGGGTGCGGGGCCAGCAATAGGTGGTGCCAGGCCAGCCAAGGTGGGTGCCAGAAGGGGCCCCCCAATTGCCCCACCCATTGCTTCACAGATTCGCTCTGATCACCAACCAGGTCTAGGGACCCTACCCGTGCACAGATTTCATGCACCAGTCCTCTAGTGTTAAATAAATGAAATAGTCATGCTTTTGTTTAGTCCCAATTTAGGGTAGTGGCTATACAAATTTAAGAAACTAAAAACAACTATATGAAAAAAAGAATGGCCACTTACTGTTTTTTAAGATGGAGAGTGTATGTTTTCCTGTTAATTTGGATAGCATAAATGACCTGCAACAAAGTATTCAGAGAGAAAGTAATAATTAAAAATGTGAAATTCTTCAAACCAAAGCCATACCTTTTTATTAATTTAAAATCTGTATTGTTTAAAATCTTATAAGTCTCCTTTCTCCCCATTGACCACACCCCAGCTGTGCCCCCCCACACACACACACATGCCCCCACCTCCCCCACCCCATCTGTGTCCATTGGTTATGCTCATATGCATGCATACAAATCCTTTGGTTGATCTCTTATCCCCTCACCCCCCGCCTTCCCTCGTAGGTTGGACTGCCTGTTCCATGCTTCTATGACTCTGGTTCTATTTTTGTTCATCAGTTTATGTTGATCATTACATCCCACATATGAGTGCGATCATGTGATATTTATCTTTCTCTGACTGGCCTATTTAACTTAGCATAATGCTCTCTAGTTCCATTCATGATTTTGCAAATGGTAAGAATTCCTTCTTTTTTATAGCAGTGTAGTATTCCATTGTGTAGACGTACCACAGTTTTCTAATCCACTCATCTGCTGATGGGCACTTAGGCTGTTTCCAAATCTTAGCTATTGTAAATTGTGCTGGTATGAACATAGGGGTGCATATATCCTTTCTGATTGGTGTTTCTGGTTTCTTGGGATACAGTCCTAGAAGTGGGATTACTGGATCAAATGGGAGTTCCATTTTTAAATTTTTGAGGAAACTCTTCTGTTTTCCACATCAGCTGCACCAGTCTGCATTCCCACCAGCAATGCAGGAGGGTTCGTTTTTCTCCACATCCTCGCCAGCACTTGTCGTTTGTTGATTTGTTGTTGATAGCCATTCTGACAGGTGTGACATGGTACCTCATTGTTGTTTTGATTTGCATCTCTCGGATGATCAGTGACTTTGAGCATGTTCTCATATGTCTCATAGCCTTCTATATGTCTTCTTTCGAAAAGTGTCTATTTAGGTCCTTTGCCCATTTTTTGAGAAGCCAAACATTTTTTTAAATGTGCTCATTCATATAAACCAAGATTGTATCATGCATTTGTCAAAATTATATCCACATATAGAAGTATGTTGCTATCTTTCTTTAATCACAGAAAGTATGAAAGAAATTCAAGGAGTCTAATACTATTTCAAATTAAGAGCATTAGTCATTGGCATTTATTATGTATCACAATCAAATGTAATTTAAAATGATTACATTTAGAAATGCTGAGGAACCTTTGAAGAAACTTGAATTTTATTATCTTTTTTCCTACTTTTCAGTTTCTAGCACAGATCCATGGAAAATCCAAGGACTATAATGCAGGTCCCCTTTTAAGGTGAAAGGGAGTAGCCATAACTGCCAGAAGCACTGCCTGCACACAGCCTTTCACCTTGCTGTTCTCTCCAGGATTTGCCTCACAACGTTCAGGGACAGTCCACATTTAATAAGCTCCCTCACCCTAACTCCAGATCTTTTCATGGGTCATGCCAGCTTCCCTCTTGTTGAGACTCAATTGATGCTCTCCCCATTCCTGGTTTTTTCCCTTCCCTTCCACAGTGCTCATCACAAGAGCAAACCCTAATTTACACAAATCCCCTCAGAGATTACAACTCAGAACACACTCTGGAGCACCAGCATCAAACATATGCTGTGCTGGGTTATTGTGAAATAAGATTCTAAGGCTAATGTCCCAGTCCACACTTTTATGAGTAGTCATTTATTTACTGTAGGGTTTTTTCTGTCTCTGTTTTTAATATATCTTGTTATATGCAAGATTTCATATTGTTAGTGTACTCAGAAATAAAAAATATAGGAAATAATCATTTAAACCCCCAAGTCTTTTTCCTAGGATGATTAGAACTGTAGAAATACTCTCCAGCAGGCTGAAGAAATAACAGTGTGAGGGCAACTCTCATTTTTGTAAAAAAAAAAAAAAATACTACTCTACCATTAAACATTAAAGCCACTGAAAGCCAGTGAGATATCCCTGTTAAAAAATTTGCCAAGAAAATGCCTTGGGTAATAATAATAATTGGCTTTAAAATCTCAAAGTTGTTAAGGCAAAATAAATATAACTAAAACTAAGGGTATATGATAAAGCTTTTTCAGTGGTAATTATATACGACTAAACATAATTTTCCAAAGTCTTTGGTAACTTAAAACATTGGAATTTGCTGAATTAAGTAGTAAAAATGATTAAATATCTACGTATCCTATCTAATAAAGACAGAATATGGTAATTGACCCTCATGCTGTCACAAAGATGGCGGCACCACAGCTAATAAGGAGGGAATATGCTAATTGACTGCCCCACACTAAAAAATGATGGCACCCATAGCCAATAAGGAGGGAATATGCTAATTGACTGCCTCACCCTCAAAGATGGTGGCATCCATAGCCACAAGATAGCGGCGCCCAATCTCCTCAGCCCCGCTGGGGTGGCAGGTGCGCAGCAAGGCTGGGCCTGCCCCCAGGAAGGCCAGGCCTTGCCATGTACCTGCCTCCAGAGTCCCCCAGTCCCTTCAGCCCCCCTGCCACCCAGGGCCGGCCCGAGGTGCAGGCAAGCCTTGGATAGCAGCTGCCTAGCCACCCAAGGCTGCCTGAGGCTCAGGTAACCAGGGCTGGCCGAAGCTTGTGTTGCTGGCAGTGGTGGCAGCAGATGTGTGATGGGGGCGTCACCTTCCCCTGATCGCCAGGTCGCCTCCCACTCCTGAGGGCTCCCGGACTGTAAGAGGGGGCAGGCCGGGCTGAGGGGACCCCCCATCCATTGCATGAATTTTCATGCAATGGGCCTCTAGGTTTTAAATAACAAGATACTGAAAAATTAATCTGAGTTTGCCTCCTATGGAGAACCTGGAGGATAAATTTGAATCTGTTAATGAATGAGTCTTGTATTTTATTTGAAATAGCTCTTAAAATGTGAATGTATTGCTAATCTGAGGAACGTTAATTATTTACATGCCACCTAAAAAATTAAGGTTTCTAAGGGTTAAGAATTCTAACTAATGGGTAAAAAAGTATGGCTTTGGTGTAATAGAAAGCATAGTCATGGAAATGAATTTTGAAGGAAAAAGAAAGTAGGTTCTAAAGCTGGTTATTTATGAAAGTTATAACGTTTCTGAAGAAAGGTTTGTGAAAGTTATAGAATTTTGTAAAGAGAAATGTTGAAAGGAAGTTATGTAAATTACACAGGCAAGTAAGCCAGGACAAGTAGAAAAGGGAGACTGAGATGATCAAACAGCAATTTGGAGCCATCTAGTAAATCCTATCTTCCTTAAGCCAAGGACACTTAAGAGTAAATGATTTGCATTTTTCCTCCCTAACCAGAGGTTATAACCAGATGGTAAATAGCTTAAATCAATGTACTCAGGTAGATTGATAGCAGAAATCCAATTTCTGTCATTTGCTGACCACATCCAAATTCAAGATTCCATGTATTGCATTACTCTATAAAGTATCTGGATTTATAGAAGTACTGGTAGGAAAAATCAGGAGAAACAAATATTTTATTATGGGGCTGAATAAATGGAAAATAATTATATAGTTTTTGTAACCTTTGTTGAAAGTATTGCTAACTCTTAAACTTTTTGGTTTTTCACATATAAGGAAGCATTTTTAATGCAAATTTGGTAAATTATATATTTCTCTCCCTACCTCCAGTATTTGGCAATTCTTAATATGTGGCAATATGTTTCTATGCATGAATTCAATAAGACCTGTTTCTAATTGTCCCTATATTAACCAAGATAAAAACTAATAATGGGCCTGCTTATAGCAGCCATGGCTTCACCACCTTTTGCAGAACTTGGTCCATCCAGTATTCTGCGGGAATCCCTTATAATCCACAAGGGCAGGCCATCATTGAATGTGCCCATGCTACACTGAAAGGTATGCTAGTAAAACAAAAAAGAGGGAATATGTGACTCAAGGAAGCTGCTATAATACTATCTAAAGCACTGTTTACCCTTAATTTCTTGAATTTGAATGATTGTTTTCAAGCCTCTGTAGAATCGCACTTTACCTCAATAACCCCATCTCAGAAACCACAGTCTTGTGGCAACATGTGGACACTAATAACTGGATGGGACCCAATGAATTATTAATGTGGGAGAGAGGATATGCATGTGTTTCTACCCCTCACAAAGCTGCTGTAGATTCCAGCTCACCAAATTAAACCCTGCATGACATGGCACAGGACCAATCTTCTTCCAGAGGGGGACTCTGCAGTCCTGAACAATGCACCTTCCTGGGACCCAGATGGCCCCCAGAATAACCTGGGGAATGATAAAGCTGATGGCAGAAGCTGAGTAATTATTGCAAAACTAGAGGCCCAGTGCATGAAATTCATGCACTGGTGGGGGTGTCCCTCAGCCCAGCCTGCACCCTCTCCAATCTGGGACTCCTCAGGGGATGTCCGACTGCCGGTTTAGGCCTGATCCCTGTGGTATTGGCCCTAACCCGGCAGTTGAACATCCCTCTCACAATCCAGGACTGCTGGCTCCCAACTGCTCACCGGCCGGCCAGACTGATCACCCCCTAACCACTCCCCTGCCAGCCTGATTGATGCCTAACTGCTCTCCTACCAGCCTGATCACCCCTAACTGCCCTCCCCTGCCAGCCTTGTCCCCCACAGCTACCTCCCCTACCGGCCTGCTTGCCCCCAACTGCCTTCCCCTGCTGGCCTGGTTGCCCCTAACTGCCCTCCCTGGTGGCCTGGTCACCCCCAACTGCCCTCCCCTGCAGGCCTGGTCACCCCTAATTTCCCTCCCCTGCCATCCTGTTCATCCCTAACTGCCCTCCTCTGTAGTCCCGGTCACCCACAACTGTCCTGTCCATCTGACCTGGTTGACCCTCACTGCCCTCCCCTGCTGGCCTGGTCACCACTAACTGCCCTCCCCTGCCAGCCTTGTCATCCCTCACTGCCCTCCCCTGCTAGCCTGGTCACCCCTAACTGCCCTCCCCTGTAGGCCTGGTCTCTCCCAACTGCCCTCCCCTGCCAGCACAGTCACCCCCAACTGCCCTCCCCTGCTGGCCCCA